CTGCGATTGCAGGAGAGCTCACATATGTGTCTGTAAACAAGCCATATGAACACACACAAGCTTTACATTGCCTATCAAAGGCATGATAATGGTACGTGGATTTGAATTTAAAGTGCGCGTGTTGGAATTATGAGTGCAATGGGCGTTACGGGAACCGTATTTATGCGCGATAGTTGTAAAGTTTAATAGGGAACGACCACGCGCGTAGCAACAATGAAGACGGTATACGGGATAAGAATATGCCGTTATTAGTGAAAAGATTCGTGTGTGATACTTCTTAGTGTGTAAGAATGACCCAATTGGTGCAGTGGAGAGTGAATCTATCTCTTGACCGAGGGTGTGGGTTTGATCTGCACTGCTGGAAAAGTATTGTGTTTGAAATTATACCTTTACTGTGTTTATATATCTATAATATTCGTTTACTTACAAAACAAAATAAGTATATACTATACTCCCAAAATAAATTAAAATAATTGAGCAAGACTAAAGTGTTTGACGTTTTTACGGTAAGTTTAATTATTCATAATCTTATTATTACTGTCTTCGCATAAGCTTATTAATATAGAACGGTACGAATTCGGTGGCGGAAACCTAATGCCGATGTAAAGGCTAAATTTGTCTCAATAATCGCATGCGAAATAAACTAACAAACGGCGAGCGGGCAATTAATAGCATTATGCAGCGGCGTCCCCGCGTCACGTGTGTAAACACGGGGGGCAGCCCTATGCTACGAACAGGGTCCCGATGTACCCCACGGATTAATGCCATCGAATGCCAAATGAGCTATGACACCCATGCGGGGAATTGAATGGGGAAAAAAACGCTACGTTTACCTTCGCGACGCGCTTAATTCGTCCCGATAGAGTCCCAATTCCCCCGAACTGACCGCAAAGGTATTTGCGAGGTAATTGCAGCCAGTTTGGTACATTGGCTTTTGAGCTCAATTTGTGAACGAGAGGTCTCATTTGTTGGGCGAAGCGCATTTAGCGTTTCAAAGGATTACGAGTGTTACGGTGCGGTAGTGTATGTGCCCGCGTCGCCTTATTGTGGACTGAAATCCGCTTCGCCGAATACGATTTACCGTTGGATTATTGAATATATATTTTCTATAATAGATAATTGAAATTTTGGACAAACAATCAACAAATAAACAGTCGTAATTGCATTTCGAAAATGCCGTTTTTGATATATTAGCTTAAAAACGTCCAACGACTTCAATGTACTTCTCTCATTTTTTCTGACAACAAAATCCTTTACATAAATAAAATATAAAATGTAAACAAAGGATTCTGTTAACAGACTCGTCACACTATTTATTTAGTATCTAGTTAAATGTATTAACGAAAGATATACGTGATCCGTCAATTGATGAAATCACGACTTAGCATGCACTATTTTTATTCAAAGCACTGATAGCTAATAATAAATAGTGTCCGGGCGCTCGCTTTTCATTCATATAGGTCTCTAAGCCTAAGTTCAAATCCCGATGCTGGCACAAGTTAAATTTTTTGTTGCAGTTTTATATGCTGAGTTATGATAGTGTACAGCGGTGAAGGAAAACAAACAAATTTGACTATACTGATATTTTGAAATAATTATTACATAAAACAATTTGAAGATATGTAAAACTCACGCGGTGGGGTCGCGTGGTGAACTAAGGTCCAATACCCTCTGTAAAAAGGTGGCCTGGACCAGCAGTGGTATATAATATGAAGGGTGTTAATTTACAAAAGTGAAAACTTGTATTATAATTTATTAAGTCTTAATATTAGAACGGAGTTAATAACTGTCCATACTTCCAGTACGTAAAATAGCATAACAAACAATATAATCTTTTAAACTAAATCGCGATAGTAAAAATTGATCAAAGCTTTAATTAACAGTCTGAAATCAGCTCTATCTAGTGGGGGGTCGTCCTACACTGCGATGGACAGAACGAGGCTGCCACTCGAGAAACTTTCTTCCCCAACGGCTATCGGTTCTACGAGCTATATGGCCGGCCCATCGCCATTTCAGCTTGCTAATCCTCTGAGCTATGTCGGTTACCTTGGTTCTACTGCGGATGTCTTCGTTACTAACTCTATCACGCAGAGAAATATCGAGCATAGCCCGCTCCATAGCTCGCTGAGCTGTGCAAATGTGCGGGAAGTCGATGGTGCAGGTGGCTCAAGATCGTACTTCATGGCAGTCTATGGGGGAGGCCTATGTTCAGCAGTGGACTCAAACAGGCTGAAATGATGATGATGATGAATCAGCTCTATTAGTTAGTGACCCGTAATATGTTCATAGTAAATTTTAAATCTAACAAATTGTTTAAGTTCCATATCTAAAGTGGTTTACCCCCGCTATAGATCCATTACAACGATGACGTCACTAGTGCGATGTGACGTTTCCACCGCCATAGTCGGAGTGTTGTGATGAATCCATTAATATAATTTTTCACGCTTGATTTAGAATCGAGGTTCACTGCACAATACTTGCAGTATAAAACGACTGCGTAGTATGATAATTTATTTGCTTTTTTATATAAAGTCTGTCAACAATTTATAAACGGAAATCGATATCAGTACTTAGGGAATAGATTTTTCTTTTATGGTATCGTATTTAGTCATTTAAATGTAACTGTTGTAGTGACTATTTTCATATAATATCAAGAATTTTTGTTAACGTTTCTTATCAAATTAAAAACTTAGTGAAAAAATGAAAACAAAGTCAAAAACAGGTCTACTATTCTTTAAGAGCCTTCTCCCATCGCTGGGTTTTCAGCACCAACTCATTAAATCTTCTCCAAACGAAAATATTGTTGACACTATTCTCCAGTACTGACTATAATCCAATAAAAGTGATATAGTTTTAATAACATTCGAATCTAATAAGCGAATACTAAAACGCTCTCTCGTATTTATATCATCGTAATTGTCTAAGTTAGCGAAAGCCGTTTGCACTGTGATTTAATTTGTACGGATCAACAATAGACATCGCATGCCCCGTCAACTACCCCACATCCGAGCCACGGCGCGGCTCCCCAAATGGAAGGTATCACTTAGAGTAATATCATTTCAACCCTCGCATTAAACGCTAAATATTCGCGATGATGTACGGCGGGACATCTCGGCCGGGGGTGAGTTTTGTTTCGACGCGATCATTTCATATTGTTATTTTAAGCTATGTCTTGTGTGTGCTATTTTTCGAAGCAAGAAAATTTTTTAAGTACAAAATCGAACAATTGATAAATCCGCCAATTGTTTTGAAGCGATATTCTATTTTTGACCGACTTTAAGGAGGAGTTTCTATGTTCGGCTGTATAAGTGTATTTTATTATGTATGTTTACCGATTTCATCCCCCATCTGTGCACCGATTCTTAAATTTTTTTTTTGAATTGTGAATTTCACAATGTTAACAAAACTCCTACAGCATACTCAAATAAAGTATTATACTAAATGTATTGCTATATAGTGAACATTTTTATTTTTATTTTAAATTATTAGTAGCTTTCACATTTGACATGACATGTGTTCCTTAAATTTCATTTACTGAGAAATGAATATATATTTCATTTAAAAGCCTCGAAATCTTCCTAAATCTAATTAAAAAAAAGCTATATTGTAATTATTGATTTCTTGATTTACGCGAATATTATACATTTTTAAATGAAACTATTTTACGGATTTTATCGTATTTGATTAGATTTTTATAGCTGGAAAGGTTTCGGGTCGGACGTCGGGAATTAAAAAATCTAATTAAAAATACGTAATATAGTTTCATTTAACAATGTATAAATTGTAATTAATTCACTTTTTGCGCATTCATTTTTATTTACCTATCAAATTCACCTAAACCAAGTTTATTTAAAAAAAATCAATTGAAAATTTCAATTTCAATTGAAACGCGACAAATAGGCAGCTAAAGACGCGTGACCGCAAAATGGCGGGAGAAACGTCGCAACCGCACGCCTGTGTGCGCCGCTACCACAAGCACACTCGCGTAACCGTAAAACTGGACGCGCACGTGTTCATCTCCCGCTGCGATGCATTTCACGCTGCGTTGTTTCGAAACAAGCACGCAATGTACTACGTATGTATGTTTACGCTCGTGTATCACAATTGCGCAAAAGCTCGAACTGTTTAGCGGACGCTTAGCCAGGGGGCCAGCTTGTCACACCCTAATTAGTTTAGAATGAAAACGGGGTGTTTTACGTCCGTTTCATTGTTTGGCTTAAATGAACGATCTCGTCTCGCAATGTTCGATTGAATGGAGCGTTTATTACTTCACAACGATTAACACATTTCACGCTGAAAGCTCGCAAAGAAGAGAATTAATAATTTAGACACGTTTACGCATAAACAATATCCATATATTTTTTTATTTTAATGAAAACTTCTTTTCGTCACTGAAATACAATGAAAATTGGTCTATGGGCTCTTTAGGAATTTTTTTGGTATTATTGGAGAAATCTAGATGTGAATTTAGACAGGAAAGTATTACAGGAAGGTTTTAAACATTCAATCATTATCACTATGGCTCTTTCGATTATTGCTAAATGAATTATTTGCCGTATTTCTTCATGTTTAATCTTATATAAAGTCTCATGTAAATCTTGTGAACGCTTTACAGCATCCATCGTCACGAGACGGAATGGGTTGTCTCTCTTAATTGTTCTGCGTGCTGTCCCTTTTAATAAATTTGGTTCCAGTAAACCTTTACACATTTCCACACGCACCAATTACGATTTCCATTTATTTATCATTAACCTTAATAATTCTTTGCATTACCATGTTTCTATCGATCGAATCGCTACATTCTATCATTCGAAAAGAATTTCGAATTGAAACAAAGTACGAATTCGTGCACATGTCGCCCGCCTTTAATCCAACCGTTTGACTGCGCCGCTACTAAGTGATTGACTTTTCAATCTATATAATCCGATTACTTTACAACGTGGTTGATTGAAGCTTTTGTTTACGAGCAAGCTAAAACAGCCCTTATGACTGAAGCATTAGGCTTTGAATGGCGAACATGAGCGACAGATGGTGAACGGAGCTGTTCTGTTGGGTGTACGCGGCGAGTGCCTGTAACTGGCGGCCCTACCCCACTGGCCGGCCGTTAGTTAATTGTTAGAATGCGTTACTTATCCTATTATAATATTATGCGTGTTTTACGGCCGATTAACGTTATCTCTGATGAGAATTTCTCACGAAATAGATTTCTTGTAGTCACAATGATCATTATTAAGGATTATCCCGCGATAAATATCAATTTTGCAACCACATGTTCAATATTTTTAATCACACAATGGCACTAATACCTATATCTTAATTAATGGTAATGTTATGTATTGTTATTTTATAGTTGTGTTATTTATAACGTCGCATTAATTTAAATTCAATCTAATATATTACTTTTAATAGATTTATAGTGTCAAATGTAATGTGGCTAAATATTCTACATCGTGTTCATTTTACAGTTGTCCTAATTTGAGGAGAACGTTAATTAAAAGCCTTTTAACGATATTTAATCAATCAAACAATTTTTTTTTTTTATTGGCTATTGGTTACGGTTGAAAAGAGAACATTTGTACCTACACATTTTTAATTTTCAAATGAAACGTATTTTTTTCCATATAAACATTACAAATCTTGTGGTTGCTTGACGCCATCTGCACTTATCGTTTTTATCCTTACGATCATCTTATATGTAAAGACTGGTGCAAAACATATTGAATACGTAAAATACTTACAAATCACAACAGAATTTGATAGGCATAATATATTAATGAGACACACTGGGCAAAGAGGCGTGCCTTGGGAGAGCCCTATGCATGTCAGTAAATTTCTACTAACTAGTGCATTAGCACTTTTAATAAAGTGGGCCCCGGCTACCTCACTTAGAAGACGAAACGCAGAAGTATACCACATCCACTTCACGCCGGTCTTCTGCGAGGTCATGGTACTTCCCCGGACCTGCCCATTCACGCAACAGTAAACTGTTGCGCGGCCTGTGCACGTGTTTAATGAAATAGCTTCGAACGTACCTTTACTTGAGACTCCGTCATACCGAGGGCGTATGCCAGCTTGGCCCGTTCCGGCCCCGCGAGGTACTTTGTCTGCTCGAAGGTCTTCTCCAGCGCGAAGATCTGCTGCCCGCTGAATGTGGGCCTCGTGTGTTTCTTCTTCCCGTCCTTGTCCATGCCCCCCTGGGCGGCGCACGCGCTCAGCGCCCCGTTGCTCACTGCAACATAAAAACCTGAAGATAGGAAGACGGGAATAAGCACCAACAGTACCTTATTATTTTATCGTGATAACGATGTCTTTGTGCTTTAGGACTCAAGGTGTAGCCAAAATTTGTGACAGATATTAAAAATTTATGAAAGCGTAGAATCAGTGATGACATCAGCGTGTTAAACGAAACTAGTTTACGAACTTTATCGCGTTTTAATTTTGATTTTTAATTCCCGACGTTTTGAACCCATTCCAACGTTCATGGTCTAAGAATAGACTGAGTTGTTTCACGACTTGATGTTAAAGTTAACCTGGGTTTCTGTCAATTATTTCACGCCACCGGTTATAGATTAATAAATTTAAAAACGTCAGTTAAAAATTAAAACGCGATAAAATCCGTAAATTTGTTTCATTTAATGTGCATTCGCGTAAAATCTAATAAATTTTGAAATGTTTTAATACGAACTCAATAATAAGTACCAAACTTAACTAACTTGAATTAACGGAAGCGATTAAGTAAAAAGGATTAACGAAGTGCATTGGATATATGAGGATGTTAGCTACGAGTTGTCTAAGTTCGGTATGCGAACGGTGAAACCAACTATTTCAATGGTCTGAGCTTGGACGGTGAGAAATGCCCCAGAACATGAATATAACTACAGTGTATTCGCTGGTGGTTAAAGCTTTAGATCGGAAAATGTCAATGTTTGCTACTGAACGTGACAAAATTACATTCCTTACATTCTTTACATTAGTGTAAGCGATTAGTATCTTTATGCGATATAATCAAAACTTTTTTGATTAATGGTCGCAACCAAAGTTACTGTGAGAATGAAAACAATGCAATTTTGCACGTAAAGGCAGAATGAGAAAACCTCAGTGGATTTCGTACGTAGCGGCAGAATGAGCAAACTGCGGTGGTGCACGGCCAGAAGTGGATCGTTGCATCGTCTGCACAGTGAATGTTACGCCCCGATTATTAATTAAGCGGGAATTTAGGCTCGATGCACTCCCGTCCAAAGCGGCGCGACATTTGGCCGAATGTCAGATTAGATCAACATTAATTCCAGTGGATTGTGGCAGAGGTGCGTTGCGCGAAATTTATTTCATTATACGTACTAAGTTGAGAATGTTCACATGAAACCATTGTTGAAGATTACAATATACACGTGATTTTTTATGCCAAAATGTAATATACCACTTTAAATAATTAAACTTAAAAAAGAAGGTTTTAATTCAAGCCTCCATTTTCTATTCGAACCTTACTGCATAAATATACCTAATTACAAAACTCCCCTGTCGAACAATGACAAAAGTTTTAAATTTAAATCTGTAGAAACATGAAATTAAAGTTTTTCGCCAGTACGACAACTTTACCTGCATCATCCGTGCTACGCACCCTACTCTCTAGCAACATCGTCATCCAATGAAAATCTCTACGTATCTTCTCTACTATCTTTCTAATCTCATTTGTACTTCTATTTAATAACTATCCATTATACCTTAATAAACATCGGTTTTTCTAATCTATATCCATGCAGAGGTTGCAGAGGTTGCAGAGGTTATTGTATTGGGCTGCGTTTTCCGTCCACTTGAACAGCAATTTGAGTTATCTTGTTTAAACCAATACCGACTAAAACAAACTCCATACGCTAGTGTGTAGTGAAGCTACAAAGGGTGCAATAAAAACATCGACTGCGTTAGTTTTTCCCCAAAACATTGAGTGGTAGCGTACATTCGACTCGTTCTAAAAGACAACGTTTCCACGAACGCTTCCCAGCGGAGACGGTTTTATCATTATTTTCGTTTAATTTTTTTTCCTGTAGCGCACCCTCCCCCTCCCATGGGAGGTGGGGCAGTGGAGCCTCGCGGAAATTCAACGCGATGAAAATATTACGATGGATTTTAATGCGCTTATTGTTTAAGGGACGAAGTCGACGTAGCGAATTCTCTTCGCACCTGGCGAAGATCCTAATCCGTAAACTGCTTTCAGTGGATCTCGTTACTATTGAAAGGAATTTATTAATCATTGGATTGCAATTCGGACGCTGTTGAAGTTATAATGTTTCTGGCGCGTTTAGAAAGAAATATGATAGTAAAATTTTTACAATGCGCGCAAGCCAACAACAAAAAAGCTAAATGATGACGAAGAAACCAACTTCACGGTATTAACATGGCAAAAGTTTTTGACCTATTATTTAATTAAACCGAGTGTAACTATTTAGGAAATGTCAAATAATTAGACCTTTCAGTTTAAAAAGACCAATAAAATTGTTATATGTGAGTTATAAGTGTAATAGGACTGTGGTAGGTATAATAAGGGTGGTAGGGCCACGCAGCAGCCTCGGCTATTGCACGAATGGGTAAGTACCACGACCTCACAGAAGACCGACGTAAAGTGGAAGTATGACTAATTCTTTCGCGTTTCGTCTGGTCAGTGAGGTAGCTGGAGCCCAATTTTCAAAAGGTTGTCAACGCATCTGTAACCCTCGGGTGTGGCAGATGTCCATGGGCGGCGGTATTCACTTAACATCAGGTCTCATCACCGTCTGCTCGTTTGATAACTTTTCACATAAAAAAAAATAGGAATCACAAAAGTATGCATTTATCTATACGAAATTTTACGTAGACCAACCTCATATTCTTATTGTTCTCATTTTTAATTGTTAACACAGATATATTTAATAACAGCAGTCAATATAAAACTTTGAAACAATATCGCACTTGCTGAATAAGAATATTAAATGAAACAGTAACTCTACATTATTTTACATTCCATTTTCAAATAAGCAAGCGGAGTCGACGATCGCATCCAGATAGCCGTAGCCGTATTGCAATATCGCGGAACGATTTCATGTGTTACATTTTATATAAAAGAGGCGAATAGTCCGCCGCTTCGGTCAGCTGTCGGTCGCCGCCACGTGGTCTCGGAGTTTTTGCGTCATATTGCAGCTCGTCATGCATTATGCAGAGGGGAGGTTCTGCCTCCTCCCTTCATTGACTTATGCATACGCCATCTCGGCGATATCGAGAACTTCGCGCTGGATTTCGATTTGCGATCCAACTCACCCTGCAACATCGCGGAAGTCGTGAAATTCGAAGATGTGATACATTCTGGCAGTAATATTGTATCAGTAGGTATTTTGTTTCAAAGTCAAAATTCTTTCTTGTCTTCATTCATTATAGGCTTATTTTAGGCTCTTACTAAACGTTAAAGCTATGTACCACCGGTTCACTTAACTATGTAGACCTGTCCAGAGAAGAGGCAATAAACTCTGCGGTCATAGTATCTATTTAATTATATTTTTAATTTTATTACTAAACAGTTTTATTTATTCATATAAAGAAACGTATAAAACGAATACACAGTTAAACTACCGCCAATATTGCAGGTACGTTGTCAATTTTAGGCAGACAATTTACGCAGCAACCGAAACACTTTCTTCGAAAAAAAAATTAAAAAATTTCAACAAACATTCAATTCATAAAATAGCGAACTTTTTAACCGACACAACTACATATTTTATTTACTACGCCATTCGAGTTATTTACCAAAGCCTTAGGATTCTTAGTGATTGACTTTGGGACTTAACTTCAATATCTTTGATCAAAATGCAATGGAAAAAATTCAATCTGCTTCAAACAAAAATTTACATAGACAGTTACCAATGTTACACTATATAGGATCTAGCAAAACGTACACGAGCGTGTAACGACATCACAGTACAATTTTGCATTACCTCTCTCGCTCGCTTCCTCTATAAACCGACTCGCAAATGCAAGGCTTACATGTATAGTGAACTGGCAGACACCAAATGAAACTCGCGCGGACCAAAAGTCACTCCGCCGCCAAACAAACAACTCAATTCAAGCCTTGTGATACGGTAACAAAACACCAAATACGTTGCAATTGTCTCGGTTGAATTACCACCGAGTAGTTGTCAACTGTGTTACCACGGAGATAAAGTTTAAATTCGCTTTTCTCCGAGCTACAACACGGCTGCTTTAGGGCGAATCACTGTTCGTAGCTTATATAGAGGCTACGAATGAATGTGTTGTTTAAAGTCATTTATGTTTTTATGGAAATTTATGCTTCCAAATTTACTTTATTTCAGGCAAGTAAAGTAAACGTCGTGGTTTTTACAGTTTTACAAAATTATTGACAATCGACGCACATATATACATACTCGTATATTTAATGCTAATACAACCTGGATGTATAATCACCCATGCAATCTTCCCGACGTAAGTTCCCTATTTGATCACTGATTTATATTTTTTAAAGTGCTTTGATTATGTCATCTCTTTATAAGTGCACGTATATAGTAATCTATACGACAACTTTACAAATGTCGCATTCAAGACCAGAACTTTTTACAGCCAACGGAAACTAACATATCTGAGAACTCTAGGAGTATTATTATTGGAATCGATTAAAACTTTCTCTTCTATGTCGCTGTTATATAGGGTTTCGTATTGCAAAATAGAATTTTGCTTTCGAAATCCTACCGCGGTGTACTGTAATATAGAGTGGTTATAAAAAATGGGCGAAATAGAGACAGTGCGAGAGACAGTAAATCATACCCTCCTATATTGCCACCGTACACGTTACGCAGGACATCAAATTAACAAAGTAGCCCTATTACGATACAAAACAAGAGCATTTGAAGATAGATGGCGATCGTAACTCTAGCCAAGGGTAACGCACAGCACTAATACTGGTTAGAGAAAGGATAGAATGTACGCCGTAAAAGTTGCATTAATATTAATGCGGCATAGCATTAAGCCCGCTACGAATTTGTGCCCAAAACTCTCGTAAATATTTATTCTCACCGAAGGGCATGAATCAATCGAAGACGCTCCCAATTGTAACGCGCAAATTGAATTTATGAACGGTCTTATCGAACTGGTACGATTTGAAATAAATTCATGCGACTTTCGTCTTTTGATTGGCTCATCGATTTTTTGAAGCTAACTTCGAGTGTTATATTTGTAGTTATAGTTGATAAACGATCATGATATTAAGCAAACAAAGGTTCCGTGGTTCAAATTCTTGGGATGGGTTATTTTAATAACACCTAATAGAGTTGAGTTTTCTTTAAGATCTCTATGATGTAAGCTTGCAGAGGAAAGATAAAAGTATGCCCGATAAGTAATGGAGTTAAATACCAAATTAGCTTTCTATTATCCAAATCAGCTTGGCTAAAATATAAGAGTGCCTATAATATTTTCGTTAGCATTGTGATACTCATTAAAGTACCAGCCATTTAAGGTCTACATCGGACGGTAAATAAACTTCTGATATAATATATCATCGTATTGGATAAATGTTGTATGACTCTACCGACAACGGGGTACCAATAAAATTCTATATGCAATAATTGATATATGCACAAGAATGGTAAGCGATTTGTTTGGCAACAGTAATGTAAAGATAGGTACTTCTGGCACTTCGAACTTAATATCCAAGGAAATGAACTAATTAATGCAAACATTGTCACCCTACACGTTGGGCCCCGCGGTGGCAACCGCACATTCGGAACACAAATCCCAGCCCGTATCTCCATCTTGACGAACTCCGAAAACATTCGGAGCGTTAAAACGGCGCATAACAATTACACGCCCAACCCTGACACAATTATCTTGGCGCTTAAAATCTCTGCACTTAAACATACAGACAGCGTAGACCGCACAGCCCCTTGCAACCCCTTCGTCCCAGGGGAGCCCCCACCCGGCCTCAATTTGTAGGGGACTAACGAGGAGCGAAAGCGGGGGAGGACGTTAACGTGTGTACATATTGGCGGGCTCGTTGCTCTACGTGTCGGTGAAAAATAGGGAGGTGGGGCGTATGTACTACGCCGCGTAGAGGGACCGCGGACGCGTAGAGCCTTGCACTCCGCGTGTTTCAGCCTCTTTTCTTCAAGTTAGCAGGGATGTAAATTACAATGGCACGAAACTAGGGAAATGCTTTAGAAGTGTGTAAATTTTAATGTACATAAATAAAATATACTCGTGTTAATATTTAAAATTTTGTTGTAATATATAATTGTATAAATATTGGTGTAACATTTATTGAGTGTATAAAAAACGATATTCAGCTTTCTTACACGAGGAAATAAGTTTTAGAATGTTATACAAATGAATCAGCTTACTAAAAATGGATAAAGGGGAATTATTTAATACAAATATTGCATTAAAGTGGTATGACCACGCAACAATTTCCACTGTTTGCACGAATGAGCAGGTCCATCCGGGTAAGTACCGCAACCTCACAGCAGATCGGCGTAAAATAGAAGTGTTACGCTTCTGCGTTTCGTCTGGTGAGTGAGGTAGCCGGGGCCCACATTTATATAAAGATGGCGACGCATTTGCCTCCGTACGGGTGTTGCAAATGTCTGTGGGCGGCCGTTTTTACCTAACCGTCAGCTCGCTTGCCACTTTTTCACATTAAAAAAAAATTTTACACAACTATTACTAAAAATCCAGCTACTTCTATAGCATAGTGATGTTCTTTATCAATTTACCCTACAGTAAAGATGATATAATATGAGATAGACCCTCAAAAAATGACTATGATTGAAGGCATTGCTATTTTAGTAATGATTGTAATAACAAATGGAGTTGGATGGAGTTAATACAACAAAACGCAAAAGTTAACCATTTTATAATCAAAAATGTTTTTCATATATAAGACAATTATAAAAAATATTTTAAAGGCATTTATTTGAAAAGATCAGCATTGTTTCAATTAATTTAACTAATTTAACTTGAATTCAAGTTTTAATAAATGCATGAATGCGAATAATTTTGACAGATACTTTAACTATTGCGTTGCCTCCTATAAAACGACCTATATAATACGGCGTTACAACAGAAGCATAATGTTAACACGTAGACAGCCTACATTCATCCCGTTGTCGACAAGTAAACGTAACGGCGGGCGCAAAATCTGCGCTCTATCATGTATAAATAATCCCCCCCTTAAGAGGGAGTCGAGAGGTTCAGCGAACCTCCGCTAACCGCGACTGCGAGTGCTTATACGAAAGTGGGATACGGTGGACGTAATACACCTCATTGTTAAGTTGTGCACGGTAGAGCCGCTCTTAGATGGAGCGCAATAAAGATCAAAACGGCGTGAGAACTCACGGATTGAATGCTCTACACCGTGTTAGGTTGTACTTGTTGTGTCAAAGAAATATGGCGCGCTGGTTGCGGGAAGGTAAACATTAGGATGTTTTAATTGTCGGCTGGAGGGCTTTCGGTGTAGACGCCGATAAGTTTAGTTTTCCTAATAAATTTTTATTGTGTCTAACTGTTTCTATCTTGATCGATTTATTACTTTTAATTATAAAATGAAAAAAAAAAAAACGCCATGTAGTGACAGGCACTAACCAATGTTAAGTCAAGTCAATACTTGGGTGGTCGAAATCCCTCAATTGAAGCAGTTCCACCATTCCACGTGTCAGGAAGCATACTTATATAAGCCCGCTTTGTTCCGCAAATCAAAAAGGCTCGGAATTGCATCCACCTACAGGTCGCTAATAAATATCATAGTTACATATTGGAACGCCTTATCGACGGTATTTGCCCGCCATAAGGAATGCAATAATGGCCCCCGCACAAGCGGCGTTATCGGCGACAAGCGATCGGCGCTAATAAAGCGATAGGATATCACGGGAGGCGCCGCGACACGCTCGACACCTGTTCTCTAGATAATGACATAAGGCTGCCCGCGCACGGCACCGCTGATATGGCATATTGAATACTGGAGTAGCCGAGCATAGCGTAATAGAATGTACATCTAATACTTATATAAATAAATAAATAAACAAAAAAGTAGGGATGTACTAAATACCGGATAAAACGGTGGGTAAACAAATGCCTCCATGACTAACTTAGAGATGCAGATTGAAGAAAGAGAAAATTAACTCTTCCTATAACATCTTACGGATTGGAATATGACAACCTTAGTGATAAATATAAGTAGTTACGTTCTCGAGTTTTCGCCTAGTTGCTATTTAAATATTAGTTATCCAATTAAATACTTACCATTCCGTCAAGAAATCTCCCTTGTACTGAATGTGTTCGAGTTACATGCTGTATGCCAGGATTT